GGAACTAAAATTTCGCTCATTTAAGGAAAACTTTCTTAAACTTGAGGCTGGGCTTTGAGAGGACTTCTTGTTAAAATAAACGGTGTGATCTGCAGAGAGCTCTCACTGTTAAGAACCACTTTTAAACAGTCGACATCATTTCTGCAGTGTCTTTAGAAATGTAATTGGACAGATGGATGTGCTGGATTGGCACTGTAAGTGTCTTTGCGCTGAGAATAGTATCAATAGCTATTAATAACTCCGAAAGGCTCTCCAGATAAATTAGTGAGCAGCGACCTTATAGCTAAGGAACACATACGTTGGTAAAGTAAAAATAAAGACTTACTAGGCATTGATTTTGAATCTAATATGCATGCAGGGAATTTCAAAAGTCATGTATTTTAGTTATGTAGTATTTTCTCTAAAACTAATATTAAAAGCAGAGATAGTCACCATTGTACTGTTTCAGGATTTCTCCTGATGAATATAGGTGCAACTGTGCTATGCATTTGTTTGCTTATTTTTAAAGTTTGTACTTCTTGAGGAAAGAAAAAAAAAATTATCATAGGCTCGGTAATATGCAGGAAATTTAACCATCTGAAATCCTCTCTATTGGAAAGGAATTGCTGAACCACATTTAACAGAAGCAGTTGCGTATTAAAACACAGCATGTTTCACAGAAGTTTCTTGTGATTTTTAACTCTAGATCACCATCAGTGCAGCCTTACTTATTGAAATTCATCTTCATTTGCCTTCCATATTTCAATATAGGTTAATTATGTCTTCTTTGGACATTACTGGGTAGGATATTCAGTCCTTTTCAGTGGTCCTGCTCTTGTTCTTGCTTTGGAGGAAGAAATCGGAGGGTTTTACATGCATGTTTCCTGTTAATTCCCCCACATAAAGAATTAAATCCTGCAAGGGTAGGTGCCTCAGCACAATTTCAATTTTTTTTTTTAATATATATATAAAAAAAAAAAATATGTTCTTCTTTTTCTTGTCTTGTCTTTGCAATGTGAAACTTTAAGATGTATATACACGAAATGACAGGAAAACCTTGTGTGTATAAACATTTCATATTCTTCCCTTACATAACAGTAATTTTCTATCAGGAACATGTTAGCAGATGCCTTATTCTACTCTGGATTCACTTTTACAATTGAGTGCAATTTTAAGTGTTTGTTCTAAAACTTCTCCCACTTTACAAAAAAGGCACTGTAATACAGGTTGTGCCATCACAACAGGCATTTTATTTGTGATCGAATTAGAAGCTGGGTTTTAGGATTTGAAAGACAAACGCATTAATCCCCTCAAAGATTCAGTCAGTCTCTGTCAATTCTAATCAGGTAAAGGCATTGGTCATTTTGCTTCAAAGCAGTTGGAGGGATTTTTTAATTCAGGGAACTGGCCTTTTTATTTCAAGCTTATTTCATCTTTCAGGTAATAATGTACCTATTGCATGTGAAGTACTGCAGGATTTAATACACTTATATGTCCCCTTAAGCTATCACAGTTCTCTGTAATTTGCAGAAATAATTTGTGGTCATCAGCACCAGCTAGTAAGTAGGACACAAAATTATGCTGGTTTTGCTAAAACAGGGTGGGAGGGAGGAGGGTGTTGGAGAGGCTTGGGAGGTTTGTCACTTAAGCAGATGACTTGAGAGTGAATTTATCTTGGTTTAAAAGAAGGTATCTGAAAAGAAGTTTGGAACAAGGGTCTGCATGTAACTGAGCGTTTTCTATGTAGAACATGGACAAGCAGGCTTGCCTGATAAACTGAAATGAAATTGGTTTTGTAATACCTTCTGTGCAATAAGAATGGTGTGTAGAACTGACTTAAAACTGAACAAGTTACTTTACATTATCCAGGCGAGATCTTGTGATGAACAAGTTTTCTAAATCTTGCAAGTTCTGGGATGAATAGTAGCATGTTTTCTGATGCCACAGTATTAGTAAAAAATAATCATATGCAGAGTCCTCTAAATGCCCTCAAAATAAATGCAAGGTGTTGTTCTTAGTTAGCACAGTAGGAATTAGGATAAACTTTTTGACTATTGATATGCTTCTGTTTTGGCCAGGATGTGTTCCAGAACTGAATCGCCTACTGTATTCCCTCTCATACAGGCATTTTGTGTTCAAAGTGTAATTAATTGTCCTAGGAGAGGTCAGGCCCCCAAAATCCCAATCTGATAGATTCCCTGGGCAGTGTGTTATGTGGTCTGTATCAGTAAGCTATGCTTTTCTTGCAAATACTTTAAGACTTGTCGCTGAGATGTGGTGGCTTACTGTCCAGAAACCCTGTGCAGGGGGAAAGTAACAGGCTGAAACAGTGATACGGGTATGGAAGTGTAATGGCAGCTGCCCAGGTGCTCTTACATTGTTGTCAGAGTTAATTAAATATCTCTTGGTTTTCTCCAGTGAAGTTCTTCAATTTGTAGTATTTGTGGAAAGTAGGTGAAAGAATTGTTTACAGTGCTGATGAAGTGTGAAGCAAAGCTCACTTGCAGCTGGACTTTCATAAAAGTCCCTTTGTCTTTCACCCTCTGGTGAATCCTCATTCTTCCCTCTAGAAATCTTTGTCTCCTGCCACAAAAAGAAATCTGGAATAGGTCATGGTTTCCTGTTGTCAGCAGTGGGTGGTAATGTTCAGCTCCTGCGTAAAATTCAAATCTTCTTTCTTTTTCACATTTTTTGTATTGTCACTTTAGCGTTCAGGATACCATGAAACACTGGGTTAGAAAATAGAAGACAGATTCTCTAATATGTCCTTGCCTCTTTACGTTGCCTAATGCAAGAAGCCTGGGAAAGCAACTGGGTCTCTTGCCTCACCTGCTGTTAACTCTTTGCACACTACAGTGTCTGAAGTGAGATGTGGATTTGATTAAAGCATGTCACACATTGGCTATTCCCAGAGCTGTCTCTTAATTAACAAGTGACACCTTTCTTCCTGCTTGGTGGAGATGAGTCTTTGCCCTTTACTTCGTATCAGGTAGATGATGAGGTTCTCCATTTCTCTTGTCTCTTAAATGGTGTTGTCTTTTATTTTTAAATTCAGATTGGTAGAGCAATTGTTAAAAGCAAGCAGGAACTAAAGTGTAAGGGAGATAGCAGTGCAGTAATTGCAACACAGCTTCAATAGGTAGCATTCTGTAAGGTCTGGAAAATGGGGCTGTTCCTTTACATTCCAAGACATTATACTGTACTATAAAGCAATCGTTCTCATGTTTTACAGAGAGTACATTATACTGTAATAGAATAGTTAGTTCCCAAGTTCCAGGGACTTGCTGAAAAGTAAGAGGTAACTAACTCTCTTCTCTCACTTTCTTCAGTTTTGTTTCACTGCCTGTGTTTCTACAGCCAATCTATGTGAATTTTTTGCCACTCCTCCCTGTACTCCTTGCCGTTAGCTTCTGTTGGTGGCTGTGGTTGCAAGGCTGACTCCCGTCATTCTGGCAGCGTCAGCCTTGTTGGAGGCGTCCATGCATTAGGATGACTTCTCTCTTCTGGTGTTAACAGCCATAATGGAAGCAGCTAGGCTGGTTTCTTTCTTCTTCTCCACTTCTAGGCCTCCTAGCATCTCGCTTGCAATGTGCAGATCAAGTATTGTTAAATCAACTGGAAGCAGGAAGAGTCAGTGCCATGCACACTATCTTTCTGTAGATCACAATATGTGTTGTTTATTAGAAATAGAGGGTCTCATGAAATCTGCTCCTAAAACGAGGTTCTAATTTATGATCTTAAGGGCAACCAAGGAAACAAGACAGAAGTGGAGGAGGAGTAATGGCAGTGCTGTTCTGTACTTTCCTCATTGCATCAGAGTTCCTCATTTTGTAGATAAGAAGGGTTTTCTAACTTACCTGTTAGTATGCCTGGGATCAGGAATTAATTTATGGTATAGGTTTTTTTTCACTGTCTTTGGGTTATCATGAAGGAAAAGAGTTCTTTAAAAGAAACTTGTCCTCTAGGTAAGTCTGTGGGCAACTGCATTGCTATTTGTGAGTTTGCCCACAAATGACTGGAGGCGGGTGTTTCAGATATCTTGAGCTTCCCAAGGAGCCCTGTGGTGTGATTTCCATCTGAACTCCAACTGTCCTAAGCATCTGGAAAATAATCCAGTTAGTATTGTAGATCTGTGCAGTATCTGAAGTATTGATAGTTATGGAATAGTTACCTTTTTTCTCTTGCTATAACTAGAGATTAGCCTTCGGGGGGGGGGGGGGCGGGGGAGGACACTGAGTAAGGAGGTGTCACTGTAGTCTCTCTTCCCTCCTCTGTAGCAGAGCCATCTGCTAATCCTAGATGTCACTGGTTCATCAGACTAAGAGTGCTTTTTTGATACAGATCCAGAACTTAATATAGCATATTCTGGGCCCTAGAATATGTGTAACTCTGGATCCCGTGAGTGACTGAAGGAGTCTGTAAATAAAACTGTCTCCCATATGGCAGCACAGATTACTCTAACTAGAACCATCCCTTTAAACTCTTTTATTCAGTTGTTTTCCCAGTAACATTGTTAGTATTCTCTCTGAAACATATGAGTCTGACCTACATAAAATAGCAAAGGTACTTGGTTAGCTTCATACAGCCTGTATAAAATAAATTAGAGGCTTTTTAGTGCCTAATTTTAAACTAATAAAAGCTAATAATTTTATCAGTATTTTGCCAAATTTGTGTATCTTTCACTTGCAGTGGTGTTGAATATTTGGTTATGTTGCCGCTGCAGTCGCTGTTCATCATAAGCAAAATTGTTTTTTGGGGGATTAGTGGGTTGGGTTTGGGCTCACATGATTCTATTTGCTTTATTGTTTTGGGTTGTAGAACTGGACAATAGAACTTGCATGACATAATGAATCTCTGTGTGAGGTAATGTGATATAGTGGGGTTTTTTAAAACTATTTTCTTTAACCTTCCTAGAAAGAATGGGTGTATTGTGTTTCTACTATCTGATGCAGCTATTCCAGGAGAGAATAATACTTAACAAATGCAATACTTAAAATGATGATGAAATATATTTTGTTCAGACCTTGTTGACTCCTTCTGTTTGCTTCACCCCCCCAGACAAACGTGTTGATGATTGGCCCTTGATGCAGTCTCCATTTCCAACCCTGACTATAAGCACTATTTATCTCCTCACTGTCTGGCTGGGCCCCAAATGGATGAAGACAAGAGAGCCCTTCCAGTTACGTTTCCTGTTGGTTGTTTACAACTTTGGAATGGTTTTGCTCAACTTCTTCATTTTCAAAGAGGTGTGTATGCCCTCTCGCAGGAGGGAATTCCTATTTAAGTCTGAGGGTGTCTACAGATTGCAAAATGAAAATAATCTTACATATTCGTGATGTCTATTGAGGGTGACTGTTTTGCACAGACTTTTAAAGCTGAGTTTGCCTTTGGTGTGAGTATTTCTGTACCTAGGTATGTTCTGTTTGAGAATAAATGCGCTAAATGAGTCTCTGGAGAGAATTTGTGTACTAGCTATTCCAAGTTCTTAGATTTATGTTAGTGTAAATACTGGACCGATTAACTAAAATCCATAGATATTTAACACTTGTAACTGATTTTTTTTTTTTCTTTTTAATAATCCTAAGGGGTGTCAGGATGTATCTTGTTAGAAATTGAGCTGTTGTTTGGTGCCTTCAATGTGTTTATCATTTTTAGAAATTCAGATGTCCATTGTCTGTAGTGAGGAAAAGTATCTTGTCTGTAAGTTATCTTTTAGAATAAGAATAAAAATGAAGTGAACTGTACCTTTAAATAAAAATAAGGGATATAGTCTTCTAATATTTGGTTTGCAAAGTTCCGAGTGTGTTAATTTTAACAAATAGCAGTGTTGCTGCATTTCTCCTTTGTTAGGTTTTCTGTACAGAGGAAATGACTAGTAACAATGCAGTGGATCAGCTCTTTAGCAGTAGCTAAGTGCGATTACTTTAACAGTTTGATAATCGTTATTCAAGGATAGCTGTCCAGAATATAGCTGATGCTAAGGAGTAGTTTATGCTGCTGTGACTTTGCTCATGTGGATTGAAAGTCTTCCTGGAAGACCTCAGATCATAAATTTGCAAAATCTGTTTCCAGAAGTAAGGAAATGAACAGAGCAGTTAAAATTACAGCATTGCAGAACTCTTCTTCTGGTCTGTTCCGTACTTTTACCAGGAAAGCATGGCATATCTGATGATGATCTGCATATTGACCCTTCCCCAGAGCTTCTATAATAAAATCATTAACTGATTTCAGCCTTTTTCTTTTTTTTTTAAAGACATGGTTTAGTAAAATTTTAGCTATCACACCTCAGTCGTCATTTTATCTAAATTGTTTCCTTGCACTATTCAACTAAGTAGTAAAATACTACAGGTACAACAGAATTTAATGCTGACACCCAAGGATAGTTGTGGGAATGGATGAAATCCAATCATCTTGGCAGGTTAAAACTGAAACTCCTTTGAAATGAATTCTGTAGTGTTTTTGCCATGTGTGTCTTTCACTTAATCTTTTAAATTGGTTTGTTTTAGCCATAAGCTGAATTATACCAGACTTGTGGTCAATTAATTTTCAAACCTATGTTGCTTATAGGATAACACGTGTTTGCATGGCATTTCCAAATCACAGAATTAACATAAAAATGAAAGGGACTGCAAATACGTGTTTACTGCTGATAGGCTGAAAGCTCATAATTTTAGACACAGACAGAGGTTCTAGCTTCCTGCTATTTCAAATGGTAGGTTGGTATTCAATGGATGTTAAGGCTATGGATACAACATTTACAGGAATTGTCTTTTTTTGATCTTAGAGACTGTCAGGAGGTAGGTGTTCAAGTTTCAGTTGTTCCCTTTAATCAGGCAACTTCTGCTTCAATCTACGTGAGGATTACCATACCAGTGTGCCACCATTGTAATTTGCATGAGTAATGTAGTTGTTATCGGTAAAATGATATACGGTTTGTATTTTGTGAATGACTGTAAAGTTTCCAGGTATTGCTGAGACGAGAATTTGAACGTGAAATGCCTTTAAATGTTGTTATTTAAATAATCATCCTGATGGCAAGCTGTATTGTTCATCTGTGATAACTTATGTTAAAATGGTAAGTCCATAAAGCACTGCTAGGTTGTCTAGTCCAAGACTCCCATACATTGGATTCAAGTTCAGATTCAAATTAGGAGCAAATTTTGCTTAGAACATGCAGAAGTCACAGGTGCATAGCCCCTGTTTTGCCACAAAATCTTGAATTTCTTATTCTACTTTGAGGCAGTCTGGTGGAGTCAATTTACTGCCTTTTGCCAAGTGAACCTTGGTCAAATTACCCAGTAGGTCGCAGTAGAGATTGGTTAATTTCTGTAACAGTGCGGACTAAACTGTTCCCTGGTCTTCTCTGATATTATCAAATGTGCTTGTGACTGTGTGGGACCACACTTGAGAGTAGTGGTGTTACAGCGGTTTGTAAATGGACTCTGATGTTGCAGAAGTAGTTCATTTTCTTTCTTAGGATCATTTCTGTGGACAGTTCTTTCACTTCCCTCCTTAAGACATGTGCAGCAAATAAGTCCAGAGTTTCACAAGGTTTTGTATGTTGGTTTTATCTGGATAACACTCGTCTCTGCATCTGTCTGCACTCCTAGTGCTGTGTGCAGGTTGAGATACCAAAGTAAACTCGAGTTCAGTCTAAATGGGATGGAAGTCAGGTTAGTGGTAAGAATAGTGCCTACCCATGTTTATTTTGGAGTTCTTTTTGTATCACCGTTCTTTACTTTTACAGCTCACAGTTTACAGGTTATGTCTGCTCCACTGCTGTCTTTTTTTGATCCTTAATAGCGTGGGATTACCTGGCTTTAAACAATCTTGGATCATTACATTTATGAATGTCAAGATTAGAGGCATTACTTGAACCTTGTACAGCTCTAGGCAAGTGTTCTTCTTTCCAAATTCTTGCTCAAATGTCAAGTTTATCTTCTCCTGTTCAGGTTATTGCAACGTGCTTTATTTGGAGTGGCCCTACAGGAGCACTTCATGTGCTTCAGGCCATTTCTGTTGGCACGAAATGGGGAACTTCTCTTCATCCAACTTCTCTCAATATGTTTTATGGGTGTTCAGCATTGGCTCCTCAGGGTTTCTTTTCTGGATTTTGATTGGTATACTGTTTTAAGAACAGTAGATCCAAATTATCTAATCCCTGTCTATTGGAGAGAATTCTTTCTAATCCATCACGGGAATAGCGTTTCTGTTACAGTGAACGCAATTAGGTATTTTCTGTCTCTGAAGCTAGAGCCATCAGAGGGAATACTCATATTTGAGTAGCTTAAGGTCATACCGGAATTCTTACTAATTTGTACAGGGCTCTAATTATCTGGGCAGATATGTGCAGGGAAAAATGAGTACTTTTTTAATTTACAAGAAAAAAATAGGTACTGTGTGACAACAGGTTGTTAGAACTAAATATTGGCTTCCTTCAATAGTATTCTCAGGACTGATAAGGATATTTTAAGTATTTCTGATCAGGTAAGTTTGATGTAGCAAGAAATTTGCTGGTAACTGTTATGAACGTGTTTTATGTAGCATCTTTCCCCTCATGTATGACTTTAATATTTTCAGCTGTTTTTGTCATCAAGAGCTCGAGGGTACAGCTATGTCTGCCAGACTGTGGATTATTCAGATAATGTATATGAAGTTAGGGTGAGTATTTCTTTTTTGTATTTATATATTAATGTGTGTAATATATAGCACTCCATGATGGTTTAAGTCTTGTCTGAAAATAGTGTTTCCAAAGTTCTGCTGTCACCCATGACTGTATGCCGTTATATTCTCACAGATTGCTTCAAGTTTGACTACTTCGCACATGGTAGGCTTAATCAAAGTGCATCAGTGTATTTGCATTAACTTTCATCTAACTGCTACAAGTAAGGGTAGTCTTAAAGATGCCATCCTTGGCTTCATCTGTGGTTGTGCAATCCAGGATAAACTTTGTATACATACTCTGGTTCCTAGACCTTGCTGAAGTTTATGATACCAGGGTAATCACAGTAAAGGTGTAGTGTTCTAGCTAGATCAAAGCACGTAAGATTTGTCAGCATATACTGTGGTTGCACTTCACTCATACTGGTGAGGCAACTTTTTGTCTCCTTTACCCATGTTTGGCTTCATGAGGTCTTGCTGGCTTCTGCCAAATGTATTATCAGTACACTTCATTGCAGAAGCTTACATTTCAAATGTGTATTTTTTGGAAAGCATTCAAATTAAAATCAAAGTGCAGATGCTTGTTAATTTCCATAACACTGATTAGCTCATGTACTAAACCTTATCTTCCAGCAGAGCTGACGCTTGAGAATCTCTCAGCTGTTCTTGCAAGTTTCATCTGCAGATTAGAACATGTTCCTGAAAATGTAATGAAAGTGTGTTATAGTCTAAATACATTTAATATTTATAACACATTTTTAAAAATGTCTGTCTACAAGGTGGCTGTTCATGGGTAGTATTACTCAAAAGCTTGTGCATGTGGCAGGGGTGGTAGTGAGAAGGATAGGTTTGAGTTTTACACCTTATGTATAATGGCTGATACTGCAGAACAACTCTGTGTGTAGATTTCATTGGCGTTATGGTAGTCGCCTATCTTTCACCTTTGCCAATACTGTGCACTCACTATTTCAGTCACTAGAATACTTCTGTTAGTAATTTTGTTTAAAACCAAAATCTAGCCAAGTATAACAAATGCTTGACAGTTGGGTTTTTTTCAATAGATAAGCAAAATAGAATGCCCTTGTACTCAGCTGGATGACATCGAGGACTGGTTTGGCATACATTGAAGGAATTTTTATAATAGCTAGGTACAAGGGGTAATGACTCTTAGTATGCAAAAACTCTTTCAGAGCCTCACTTTTAGGTGCACTTGTTTGTGGGAGGCTGTGCAGGGGTCAGACCTGCGTAAAAGAATTATCTTCTGTTTTGGTCATTATGACAAACAAAGCATTATTATACAATGAAATAAAGGCAGAATGACCTGCACAATGTATTTATTGCATATGATATGTCCAGAAAAGAAAGCTTGCTCTAGCAATATCTACTCTTTAGATTTCCTGACGTTTTAAGTTTCTTCACAAACTTGTGGATTTGCATAAACTTTATTTCTAAAGTTTTAAGTTGTAACATGTTCAGTTTGCAGCTGAGAGTTGAGGAAGCAAGGAAAATTTGAGTTCTCTCCGGTTGTTGTAGCAACTATATGTTATCAGTCAAGACCCTTAACTACCAGATAAAGATGAAGTACTTTTGAATGAATTCTCAATTTAGGTAAATAAGTTGCAAGTAGAAAACTACACTTTCCACAAGTGTACTTTGTCTAACTAAAGAGTCTAGGGTAAGTTTCTGGCCTGCTTTACAGTGTATCGTGCTCTGCATTTAGAAGGTATGTTGTTTGGTTTTTGACACTGTAGGGCACAAAAAACCCCAAAACCTCCTCAAGATTCCTTTCACCATAATTTTTCTTAATAGAAACCTGCAAAAGCAATTTTAAAATGTTAAGTGAATGTGGGCTTCTTTTTGCACTTTTGAGTTTAGAATTTATAAACCTTGTATCACATCTCTCACACCCTTTTAATAGATCTCAATACTAAATGTCTAGTATTTATTGGCACTGGGTTTTCTCTGAAGAGGAATGCTGCACTGCAACAGTAGAATTAGTTACAGATGCAATAACTTTATTTGTAAGAGAATGAGTAAATGAGTCCTGTTATTAGTCAGATAAAGGAGACTGGGACTAACTCAAATGGAAACAGCACTGAGCCCAGAAAGCGTTGTGGAACATGGTCTGGAAACCAACAGCTTCATGTATGACTTTTTTTATTGTGGAGCTTAAAAAGCTGGAAAAAAAATAATGAGAAATGTGAAACTAATTGCATGTAGTGGTCTAAATGGAAACTTAGAAGCCCTGGTATGACCTCTGTTTCTATCTTTTTCGGTATGTGCCACTATGATGTTGCCATGTACTGGCCCTTTTTGACCAAAGCTCTTGCTCAAAATGAGGGGTCAAGAAACCATCCTTTGTTCCTTAAGGGAGTACAGAGAGCTGGTAAACAGTTCCAAAAAAAAAAAAAAAAAGTTTGGCTATCCTGGGTGCCAGAGAATGTCCCTCCTCTCCTTTCCAACCCACATCATGTCTCAAGACAGTAAGCCAATGGTGATTTCAAGGGAACAGTGTAAGGGCATGTGGTGGCACTTCCCCTGTATAGTATAGCAACACCAGCAATCTACAGCTCACAGACTTCTTAAGTCAGACGTAGCTCTTTGTTTTGCCAGTTTTTAAGGAAATATTTTTCCATGAATTTGTCGATAAAGTTGAAGAAAACGTACAAAGCTTCTGGCTTTCACTGACAATTAATACCGTAGTTAGTTTACACATAGTATGAAGAAGTTGGTCCTCCTACTTGCTGTTTTGAACCTACCTACACCTGTTAATCTCATCCAGTCTCCCTTGGCTGTTGTTCTACAAGAGGCAATGGATGACTGGAGCAAGTGAGGATGGAAATTAGATTCCACAGTTGCACAAAAACTCCTTTCTAAAGGACTTACTACTTCTGGGTGTAGTAGACAGCCACCTTACTGACTGCTGGCAGGAAATTGAGGAGTGTGTTTTGTAATTGGTTCTATTAAAAAAAAAAAAAAAAATGCTCATAGCAGAGAAGAAAGAAAAGGGGGAAGAAATCCCCAAGAAGGGATTTTGAAGGAGCTGCAGCTGCATCTTGGAAGAACTTTTTTTGGTTATAGCTTAGGAGTCAAAATAATAAATGCAAAGGGCCGAGGTGTTAAATCCATGCTTTGTAGTACTGCTTTGGAAGCTCCAGTATTTGGAGCGAACAATTTCCTAATACTGTCTAACTTAAGGCATGTTAGTGTCTGTGAGTAGTCACTTTCCCCTTCTGCTTACATTTGTGTGTCCTTGTTTCCCAGGTCAGGGTTCATCTATTTTATTAGCATTTCTGGAGAGCTGAGAATTAGGAATCTGGGGCTGTGTGAATTAGTTAGCTCCTAGTTTTAAGTGTGCTGATTGCAATCATAATGCTGAGCTATGGTTGTCTTCTGTATTATAATTGTAATCTGCATTGTTTGTATTTATGTCATTGTTTGTATTTATGTCTAGAGCTTGAGTAGTTTCCTCTTATGAAATAAAAATAATAATTTTCTTTAAACTTCTGTGAAAAGGGAACTTGAGTTAACAAAATAGACTTCATGGCCCTGTGAACAAAATTCTATAACTGAAGCAGAGAAAAGAATTGTCTTTAAAAGCCACTTTAATTATTCATGTTACTGTTACCTTCTAAGAAGTACCTGTCCCTTCAAACCCCTTAATGTATAACTGTCTTCAACCTGAAATGTGGAAGGAGGGTGCAGGAGTGGAGTCCCATGTTAAAACAACCCTCTGTTCAAAAACCCTGCAGGAGGCAGAGATCATGGGACTGGACCTCTTGTTGACCCCCCTAGGCTGTAATGTAATCTTTCTGTGCCATCTGGTGTTTTAACAGACTTAGATTGGTGCGTATGAAAATTGCCAGAGAAGGTATGGTTGTGACTAGTATTATTCATTTCAGGAATATGCTTTTTTAATGCATATTTTCTTTTAAGCTAAATCTTTCTTTCATGCTGTCTCCAAAGAAAGGCTACAGGTTAGGTCATAACTTCTGATGCTTTGCAGAAGTTGTTTAATAGTAGCCATCTGCTCCTGACGTAGCTTACATATCGGTGTATTGTTCTACTTTATTTATGTCCTCTGTCACTGCATGCGTGGCCTTGGGCAAATGGCTTAACATCTGTTTCATTTTTTTCTGTATCTGTATGTTAATGATCAAAACATCTGTGTAAGTTATTGAGAGCACTGAAATAGATCATCAGTACACGAAACCTATCAGGTTTGAGAATAAATGGTAGTAAAATTTGATGATAGGAAGAGAGCAAAAGAGCTGTCAGGCAAAAAAATCTACAGGAACACAAAAATCATCAGGTATAACCCTGCAAAGAAATGGAGGCTATTTTTGTTCTTAAGTGATGGGAAGCATTTTGATCAAAAGTTCAGCTGACTTTGATCCATGGGCTGTAATTGCTTTCTGTGCAAGGCAGGTAGAATTCGAAAGAAGAGGAATGAGGTGTGTTAAATGACTTGTCCAGGAGCATATAGTGAACATGTAGCATCTTGGGCATAAAAAAAAATAAGGTTTTTTATTGGATTTTTCTCCACTTACATTTTGCTCTATGTCATACAGTAAATTGGCTATTTGTGTATTGGCTATTTGGCTTATTGTTCCACTGTTTCTTTAACAAAATGCATATCAGCTTTATAAGAGATTTATGGCAGTTTGCTTGTGACTGACTTAATGATTCTTTGGAGGTCCTTCCTTCCGAGAAACTTTTAAAGAGCTTGAGTATTGTAGTGCTGGCTGTTCGTTTTATGGATACAGTCCAAGGTGTTTATCGTTAACGCATGAGATGAAAAGATGCTTATCTTAATTTATTTAAGAGATGCAGCTTTAGCAAAGATCTGTAAAAGATGCTGGACTGTTATGCTAATCCATGGGTGTGAGACAAAGCCTTGATGTGGGTGTTACTAAACACCTGACTACCTGCCCCAGAGGCAGAACTGTACTGGATATTGAGCAACATATATGTGTGTGTATACATATATATATATATATGGTTCTTGCAGCTTGCCTTTGTGTCTGGAAACTCCAAGATCTGTGAGAGTCACTTTTCTCTCATTAAGCCTCGCTCCAACGGTTCTTGCATTGCCTTTGTGTCTGGAAACTCCAAGATCTGTGAGAGTCACTTTTCTCTCATTAAGCCTCGCTCCAACTTTGACAGATATTAGTATCTTTTTATATAAAATTGACAAAATCAGCCTCCTCTTCCTGAGACCTGAAGTAGGCTAAATCTCATGCAGAGAGTGAGAAGGGTATTCATTAATGGGTGCATAGAAGTCTGCAGTTTGGCAACAGTAAGTTGTGCAGTCCCTTTGGGAAACAGCAGAGTCTGCAATGCAGATCTGCAGCGCTCTTCTGCTCCCGTGCTGCTTTTTTGCTTCTGCTGTAATATCTCCTAAAATGTTCACCAGTCCAATTATGGCTGTGACAATCTTACTCTGAGGAGAGATGTGTTCCTTTCCCGCTAGTTTGGAGAGGTGGAGAACACCACCATGTGGGGCTGTAGCACTGCTCTGTACTGCTCGTTGTCCTGATTCCCCTTTCTCTCACTTGCCTAACAGTATGTGTGTATTTGTGAAGGGAAGCTACTGCTGTCTTAATTTTTTCTCTTTTGTCTCCCCTGGGGACTGAGGGGGTGGTGGGGTTATTTCACACCATGTTAAGGTAAGAAAGTCTGATTTGCCATCAGATGAGTCCTGAAGGACCAGGTGAACTTCTTACAAATAGGTGTGTTGTGACATTGCCAGCTCTCCTTGCTGGTGATGCCATTTCCAACTTTTTTTTTTCTTCCCATTCTCTGTGTGAGTCACCATCTGGGATATGTTCTGGTCCCACCCTTGCATAACGAGCTAGATGACTTATGATGCCAGGAACTAGACTTGTTGCTATGCTTTGGGATCTGGAAGGGAGTCCCCACCACCACCATACCCCCATATCATAGTATTAGCAAATTGCTACGCAGAGCTTCTGGGCTTTACCTGGTACAACAATATCCTGATTTCAGCAGAAAGCCATGTTTATGTTGCATCTTGGGCAAGATTCACTATGATGGGTGGATTAGAAAAAGAATTTTGGGTGTGTAGCACTGCCCTGGTGGGTAGATAGTTTATATCTCTGCAGCTTGTGTGGTTCCCATGTTCTCATTTCTTTTATTCCCCAAATGGCACAGAGCCACTGGGGGAATGCTGCTTTCCAGAGGGGGTTACTGAGCAGGCCAGAGGAAGCTGAGAGGGAATATTGCTCTAAGGGATGTGAAATCTGTACCACACCTAGCTTGGAAGAGTGATATGGTATCTTCCCACCCATATGCCTGTGTTACTGAAGGAATTTTATATAAGGTTTCAGCCTTTGCAACTTCATTTTATCATAATGTTACTGCCTCGTTGTTCTGACCACATCGAAGTGTTGCCTCATTAGTATGGGAAGCCCCGTGGTAGTCTTCTCCTGCAAAGCTTAGGATAGAGAATGAGGACACAAACTCCCTATGTTTAACTGGTAAGCTGTTCAGAGATGGCAAAGCTTTTAATTATGTTAGCTCTTTTTTACGGTTGTGATTTGTGAGCAGTAGACTCGGAATAATACTTCCATGTCCGGAATAGATGAAGGGAGTATTGCTTTTGTTATTGTTCTCATACCATCAGATGTTTGATGACTCCACCTCAACATTTAGCAGGATTCAGGGAAGGAAGAGGTATCCTTCTCTTGCAGCAGATAGGTGGAGAGAACTTTATTGCATTCAGCTTGGAATCACTAAAACTTGTGTGTTGTCTTTTTTTCATTGCAGATAGCTGCTGCTTTATGGTGGTATTATGTCTCTAAAGGAATAGAATATTTGGATACAGTATTCTTCATCCTGAGGAAGAAATTTAACCAAATTAGTTTCCTTCATGTCTATCACCATTTCACCATGTTCACCTTGTGGTGGATTGGTATTAAGTGGGTTGCAGGCGGACAAGGTGAGTTCCCTTCCTCCTATACCCTTTTGACTGGACACAAGGGAGAATTATTATTGTTTGGGAGCAATGGAAAAAAGTTTTCATAGACTTAACATTATAATACACAAGACTGTTTAAATAGCACTGAAGCAGTGCAGTAGCTTTAATGTGTATGGTCTTCCTCTGTGGGAAACGTGGGGGAGGAAAAGATAACAGGGCAATAATCTAATGAATTGCAAAACTTTTTTTTTTTCCTTCATGGGCATCAATTGCAAGCCTGAAGTTCTGTCTTCAAAATTAACCTTGTTCTGTATGAAATAAAGATGAACATGTCTTGCCTAACTTGAATTTTTGCAGATACAGAGAACTGCAAAATCTAATTACAGGCCACAATCTGTGTGCAAATGTAATGAAGTTAATGGAGACGTTATTTTGCCATTGTATCTTGAGTTTGGGGGTTGCTTTCTTTTTTATAAGAAGTATGTATAAAATTCTGAAACCTTCCCTTGAAGGTGAGCCAATAAATCTGTCAATTAACTTTTAAAACCTATTCATAATGACACAAGTCTATAATTCATTATCAGCCTTTTTTTTCCCTTGCTTCCTTCCTAAAGCCCCCATCAAAGAATTTTATTCCACTGTACTTGCCACATCCTCCCTTGCCTGCATCGTACCCTTGTTCCTGTTGTTTTGCCTTGTCTCTCTCAAATTATAAGCTCTACAGAGCTGAGGGTTCAGGGAAAATACCGTTTTGTTTGTGATGTGCTTTGTAGGCTTAAGACACTGAAAATAACATATAGTAAACACCACACCAAACTAATATTTTGGGGTTTTTTATCAAACCACACTAATACTTAATGCATGGGGGTTTTATGCTCTCATTTACTATAGATATCTTGTACTGAGTGGTTACTTACATTCAAAAGAAGAAATATTTAAAATGAGTATCTGTGACTATCCTTGAATTTCTCCCAAGTAATCTGCAGGATGCAGGTACTCAACCAGACATTTCATGATCTTTATTGGCTACTGCACCTATAAAATAAGTTTACTGGAGACTGGATGCTTACTTGTAGTCTTACTTAGAAATTCCCTGGGTATCTCAAAATGCCCTCTCCCTTGTTGCCTTTTCAGACTTTTCATGCTAAATATCAGCAGTTTTCAATACGACAGTTGCAACTATTTCCAAATCTACTTCAAGTTTTGGTGTTCTTGCACTGCCTCTTAGTTTATAGCCCCTGCAAAAGGAAAAGCAACAGTTGCTCTTCTGCATTTATGTAGCGCTACTGCATAAATGTGGATAGATCTATGTTCTTCTGTTTTCTAGTTGATAGCACATTGCTTACATAGACAGATCTATTATAAACTAGACCCTATTATAACTAACTGGGTCTAGACCACATGGGTATCTGAGCTGTTTGATGTCAGCAGCTATTGTCTGTATTGCCCTAATCTTATACATTAGAGCCTTTTTGAGCCTCTCCGGCAGTGTAAGAATACCTTAACAAGATATAATTTGTTTCTGTTAAATGGCTGCTAATCTTGACAGAACAAAGAGATCTTAATGCAAATGAGAAGTCGTCTTCATTTCCAGCATGGACCATTCTGGAAAAAGTTACACTATACATTTATATATTTAAGAATGCTGGATATTTTAAGCTATAAATAAGGAAACTAAAGATGACCAATTTAGACAAACTCACTTGGCAATGCCCTTAAACGTCTTGTAACCACAAGTGAAGTTTTGCTTTGTATGATTTTTTTTCTTTTGGCCTATTTAATCAGACTTCCACATGAGTTTCTTGACTTCTTGCTGAGAAGTGAAGCTTGTGCATTTAAATACAGTTTAAAAGATTTAAGTTCAGAACCTGATACTTTATGCTTTATATTGTCAAATACAGCTTTTAATAATCCTTTAGCAAAACAATTGCAGTTATACTATAGTAACTAATGTGGAATCCATGTGATTTATGTCTGTTCAACAAAAAATCTTATGAAAAGCTTTTGCATAAGTAGTTTCATGAAAGATGTGACATACTACTTGCATGAACAGCTAGTTGTGTCAGCACATGTTGGCAGTCAGGTCTATACTATACTATTGAATATTTCAAAGATGGAATCCTGGCATGTCCTGTGCTTTATAATTTTTACTGTCACATGAATAATACTAGAAAAGACACCTCTCTTTTTTCAAAATTACATGGCAATCTTCCCTTCTGTTCCTGGACAGCTTTTTTTGGAGCTCAGATGAATGCATTTATTCATGTCATTATGTACATGTATTACGGATTAGCTGCCTGTGGCCCTAAATTTCAGAAATACCTGTGGTGGAAACGATACTTAACCATATTGCAACTGGTAAGTAAAATTCCTCCCTTTATCTCAGAAGGTATTGCCTCCTAGTGGAATTGCATTTGCAGAGCTTTGGAACAGATGCTGCTCATTCCAAAAATTCTTAGCTGTCTGATACTCACAACTCAAGTTAGAATACTTCCTGGAAATGGAAGTATTTATTTCATTTCTCAAAAAATACGCAGCATAGATAAGATTTGTGTGAGTAAAGTCTAATACTACTTTACTGGTTGTTTCAACTGAATTGGAAAAACCTGTTCAAAAGGTAGAGAAAAATCCAGAGCTCCTAATGTCTTCTCATTTTCCCATTTCTGAAAACTGGTGCCAGGTACAGCAATAAATTTTATGTCCCTGGTCAAGCATATGTGCGCGTGCATGATGTGACAGTCAAATACAGCTTCCCTACCACCTACCAATTTAGCAATTTTCAAATGACTTAATGCATTGGTATACATTGGTGCAGTCAGACCTACAGAATATATCGAGACCTTTTTGAGTCTATATTTTCTGTCTTTCAGGTGCAGTTCCATGTGACTATTGGCCACACAGCCTTGTCTATTTATATTGATTGTCCTTTCCCTAAATGGATGCACTGGGGTGTGATTTTCTATGCTGTCACCTTCATTCTCCTGTTTGGTAACTTCTACTATCGGACATATAAGCTGCCCAAGGAACCTGTAAAGAATGGCAAAATAGCAAATGGTGCTGTTGCAAATGGAGTAAGCAAACCAGAAGATAATGCAGTAGTGGAAAATGGAAAAAAGCAGAAAAAGGGAAAAGCAAAAGGAGAGTAACTTGATCCAGGCCTTAACCGTTGTTGGCAGTGAGGAACCTCCAGTTTGGTTTATAAAAGGAAGAAAAAAACACTATCTGTACCAATTAACCTTAGGTTACTGAAGAGCTAGAACACAGATATTTTCATTATTTATGAAGATTGTTTTAAGAACAACACTAAAGTTGAATTTCTATTGTAATTATGTAATTATCATGCATATGACCTCTGTGTAAACTTGTAGACTGCTGGTGTTGGTGAATATAAGGAAGAATTGCAGTTGATTCCATGTTTAGCAGTCCAAAAGTTAATACTACCATTGATACAGGCAGTTTTGTTGGCACCCACATTTCTTTGGGGGAGGGAGGGGAAGGAAGTAGCGTTTGGATACTTGTGTTTTCTTTCCAGAGAATTATTAAATTTCAAATTATGACGTATTATCTAATCAGAATGCGCAACTTTTCTTGTCCTCCTTGGAGAGTATCTTCAGACACATTATGTTTATGTGCTGTCAGAACAGTGTTTGAGTTCTCAGACATTACTTGATTTAATTGAGTGTCTGTTACAGGGTTTTGTTTTCTGTTTTTTTTCTTGTGTGGAAATATACCTACCTCTTCATCTGCTGAAAAGAATATTGAGCATTAAAAACTGGTTTCTGAAATATGGAGTCCTCTAATATAAATATCCGTTAACACTAATTCAGGAGAAAATATGATTTCCTGTGGGAGTAAAAGGGATTTTTGGTGGTATTTTTTTGGTCAAGTCATCAATAACCTTTTTCAAACTAAACTTAAATTTTGGAGTGGTACTTTTAGTATAGCTAAGTGAAGAAAATATTTTAAGAATGTATAAATATGAAAATACATTGTTTGAAGCAAGCAGTAAAAGTAGGCCTGCTACTTTTTGCCCGTGACCTGCATTAAACCTGTGGTGCTGACTGATACTGAAAACGGTAGGATAATATTATGGTGGAGAGAAAAACAACAATATGTAATTACATTTAGAAATGCTGTGTGTATGGGTAGTCATGCTAACTACAAGACAGTCACTTTATTGGGAGAGAGAATTCGGTTAAGAAGTACTAAATACAGCAAACATAAAATGTTGAAAATGCTGCTACTGCTTGATACCCGTCAAAACTCTATTTGTTTAGACACTTACAGACAAAGTATTGCTAATAGTCAGGCCACCATTTTAATGTGAATGTCAGAGATGGGCTTCTGAAACTCTGTTCCCAAAATATTCTCAGCTCTTGTCAACCTAATTGACAAAGTGATTCTGCTAATCATTTTTTAGTCAAAACTGCTAAAATAAGCAGAAGCCTTTTAGATGGCTTTTCATCTTATGTGCTACATTGAGGGACTTCTTACTGCTCCTTTTGTGAAGAAAATACGGAAAGAGTTATTCTCCTTTGAAATAATGTGATTACCAAGAGAGATGTTTTGAGCTGCTCAGCATGCAATGAGTATAAGACAGGGGTGGAATTAGAAACCATATCCTGAACTCCCATGTTCCTTGCTCATCACTGCAAGAGCTGCATTGTTGCTGTCTAAATGCATTCCTCCCAGCTCTGGTCAAAAACATATTCATAGTTAGTGACAGACTTGCATCCAGCAAGTGACAGCATTGTTGCAGGAAAAAAGTACATGGAGCTGTATGTGTAAGGTGTGTGACACGTTTAATAACTTTTGCATCTCGATTATCCATTTGTCTGTTTATAACATGCAAACAGGTCACATGTTCTGTGTCTCAGGTTTGTCTCTTGTCTCTATACTAAAAACTGTCTAAACCCAAAAAACAGGTCCTAGGAACCCAAAAGGGTTGGATATAGTCTGTTGTATTCAGAAATAATTCCTAATGCTGGAGTTGATTCAGCTGGAAGGTAGTTCATCCATAATCTCCACCACTCTGGATTTTATGGAAGAACATAAGATTGTGAAAGACCGTCTCTGCTGAACTGTAATGCATGTGACCATTAAGTTTCCTATCTGCTGTGTCTTGTGATTCTTCCAGCCTTTGTACTGATGCTTTTTGCATTTGCATAACTCTGTGTGTTTATGTAGTGTGGCGTGGGGAAGAGGGAATGCGGTCTACCCTTCCTTCTTGGACAAATGCCACTACCCTTAACCAAGCCAAAATGCTGGCTGACTGGGTAACTTGGAATGGCTAAAGGAGCAAATGACTACAAAGCAAGCTAGCAGATTTACAGCACGCCTGCTACTCCAAGATAATGGCTGGTGTGAATACACTTACCCTACTTTGATTAAATTCAGGGTAGCTTACCCCACTTTAATTAAAGGGTAGCTTCTCTCTATTTGCCACGGGATGTGGGCAGCTAACTTGTAAATCTGTATCATTCCTTTTGTTTGCTCCGTCTTTCTTTCAGTAGGCCAGATCAGATAAACTGATGCTCTTAATGTGATCTAGCTCTGAAAGAGGATACCGAGAAGTATTCCAGTACGGGTTCAATTATGTCTTTACTACACTGTGTAAATTAAGAATTATGTCTTGCATGTTGGCAAATATTTAAATAACTGAAAGTCAAATCTTCTCTCCCCTCATCATGCATGGAAGCTGCTTAAAGTTGATAATAACTTGAACCTTATTGGCAGAACTTGAGTAGAATCCTACCCTCAAACTCTGGGGCACTTGGTAACTTTTAAGAAAAAATGAAACAACACATTGTGAGAATGCATGCATGCATGCATACATACACATCGTGTTGTCTGGCCCTGTGGGTAAAACCAGTTTGAGAGATTGGCATTTCATGGGGAAAAAAAAAAATCAGTTATGAAATTGCTGGAACGCTGCTGTTTTGAGTCCATCTTCTGCAATATGGCTTTTCTAGGACTATTTATGATATATTTGATTGTTCATGTGACTTGAGTCCCATTATGATCTTGAATATAATGGCCTTATTAAATGTGCATTTTTGTAGGCGTGGTCTTGAGTGCAATACTTCTGTTTCTGACTATGCAGCCAGACTCACAGAATACAGGGTTGAACTTGTACAGCTTTTTTGTTTTCAGAATTTGAGGCAATGATGCACATGTGAGACACTGCCAGATTCATTAAAGTCATCATTGAGTCCAAGGCACCTCAGAATTTTGCCATGAAAGTAATAGAATATATGTATAAATGTGTATGTTTGCTATACACGGAACTGAAATTTAAATTATAAAATCTACTTTGCATGGGGTTTGGTTTGGGTTTTTTTCCCTAAATGCTTCCAATTTATTTAAAAGTGAAATTCAAACCATTTGGAACTTTTCTTTTTTGCCAATGGAAGATACTTTTTTGCTAACAGTTCTGAAGCTCTTGGACCAGAGTCTCATAATTATTTGATGCCATATGAGTGATACCATTTCATCTAGCCTCATCTCTAGCAGTGACAGTTGTTGGATGCTTTTAGCACTTTGTCAGTGTAAAATAAATACAAATTATCTATATATGTGTGTGTATATATGTGTACGCATACATAGTGTGTGTGTGTATATATAGGCTCTTAGCACGTTTTTTCAATATGTGAAGTAAATTACATTTCTTTAATGTGAAGTTGGCAGGAGCTAATAGAACAGTTCCTACAGCTCGAGTAGTAAAATGAAGCAGTCTTCATTGATCCATAGGTCCAATATCAGTCTTGCAGACATAAATAGTATTTGTCAGTCATTTTAGACATAGGATGGCAGACAAGCCAGAGCCATTTCTCCCAGTGTAATAAATATCTTGAGGCATCAGTTGTAGATTCTGAGGGGAGGGACCTCAACTCAGAGGAGCTGAGGAATTAAGCTGTTTTATAGTAGGGATCGTTTTAGGAAACAGTGAGTAATTTTCTCCAGGTAAGTCTCTGAAGTCCATTATAATCAAATTCTCTGGTTAACGGAACACTTTTAAAATAAATAAATGTTTCTCTGTAGGTTCAAAAGCATGACCTATTTGATTATATGACCATTAACTACTTCCAGCTCCAGATCAGGAGAAAAAGATGAAGGCAAAATAAAAATGCTGCACGTTTCTTTTTTTTCAGGTTAAACTTAGGGCATGTTTCTTCAGAGTAAGCACTTGACCTCCGTGTGCTGGGGAGGCAGGTAAGAAAGGAGTAAATAGCTATTGTGCTGAAAGATCTCACTCCTAAAATAGCTTATAAGCACACTTGCTATCTCTTAAAAACTTGAGTAAAATTGTTCATGGTGCATAAAGTTAAACCTTGCATGAAGTTAGTGTGGGATGAGAGTCATAATGTTTAAGCAGATATTTAAAATTAGATCTGTTTCAGTTAAAATTCAAGAGAATGGAGAGCTTATTAAGTATCTGGATAGTGTATTCATCTTGGTTAGAAGCACAGGCTAAGCCAATTTGGCATCTAGAGCAAGTCACCCATATGACATCTCATTGCGTTGTGGTCTGATGAGTTGGCCCCTTTGCTAACGTAAGCAGTCAGAGCTCCATGGAAATCGGGGGGGGGGTGGTTCCCATTTATCTCAGCAGAGTATGTTTAACCCTAAAGAACAGAGAAAATACTTGCTTTCTGCCAATATCCCAGGAGGATGAGGGAAATGTATGGTTCAGGATGCTGCTTTTGCCTAAGGTGTTCATGCTTTTGTAAACAATAAAAATAAAAATTACTTTTCTCATGCTGTTTGAGTTTGGTTTTATGCATTCCATAGAACGTTCTTCTGTGTCCCATCTTGCTTCGAGATGCTTGCTAATTTTACAGTGTTGCGCAGGTTATATTGATGTAATCTGTTACGTAGCCCAGAAGTTTGAGAGAAACACTTCTGTGGCACATCCTCCCATTTTAAGGTTTAGGGGACTTTCTAATTTTGAATATTGCCCCAAAATGGTAGTCTAGTGGCTTTGAAGTCACCCTTGGGGAACTGACTGAAAATAGGATGTCCACTTAAACAAAAAACAAGTCTCCTGAAATATATTCTCGCTGAGCAGCACATGTGTCGGCATCACGTTTGGTCCAAACGTCATCTTAAGGCTGGGATAAACGGAAAGTGTCGGATGGAGTTGGCCTTTGCTACTACCCCAGTATGGCTTGTGCCTTGGATATGCAGGAGAGGGAGGGAAGGATCAGCGAAGTGAAAAATGGGTGTAATGCCTGAATATAATGGTTCTAGCTAAGAAATCTTCTCAATCTTCTATTTTGAGAAGGTGGTGGTAAAAGAATCTGCACGCTGTATGCAAGGCTCCAGATTGTTTGGTCTTGGAAGTATTAACAATTCCACGTGGTGTAGCTTTTGCTGGACACCACATTGTGTTAATGTGATGCCTCTCATCCCGGAGAATCTGGAGCACTCTTGGCAGTAGGTGTAATTCACAATTACATGTTGCTGTGTACGATAAGTTTCTTCACAGTTAGTCCACCAAGTATGATCTCTGTAATCAACCTTATAATACTGAGTTGCACCCATGTTGCACTC